TAAGATTCACTGTAGTTTATTAAGATGATGTGGAGAGATGCTGAGTGACTGATTTTGACACATCACAGTGGAAATTGTTAGAAAAGTCATGTAATGCAGCTGTCTTGTAAACCGGTGAGTGTTACTTAGCCTGTTAAACTCACTACCTGGTTTACAAATAAGAGGACGTTAAAGACTGAAGTTCACTTGGTTGGAGATGTCTGTTTTTACGCTGTAATATTGTCTTACTTGATAAGACACCTCTGTCGTAGATGTAGATAATATAAGCTTGGAAAACATGCTGCTTTTTTTATTCCTTAGCTCTGATCAAACACATTTTTCTGTGATATCAATGCTTTGTTTAAAGACTTGCCCAGTGTTCCTTTGAGTGTAACCTCAGTGCTCCTTTTCCTAAGGGAACAACGAGAAAAAGAGGAAATAGAAAAATACCGTATGGAACGACCCAAAATTCAGCAGCAGTTCTCGGACTTGAAAGTAAGGAAAAACGTATTGCCTGAAATGTGACTTTTATCTTTATGACATATGGGCAATGTATGTCTGTTCTGCATTTCTTTGCTCTGATTTTGTGTGTTAGCAAACAAGTACTTTGCTATCCTCCAGATCAGAATTCCTTTCTGTTGGAAAAATAACTGAACTAATATGAAGCTGGCAGCTAGTGGCGTGCAACCTCTTCTTGCTTTGAATCTCTCAAGTGCTGCAGTATAATTTTCAGTTGCAGTTACGCAGTTACAGGCAGTATAATTGATAGTGCTGATTTAAATCAGAGTGGTGATGCAATCTTCAGTAAGTGATAAAGCAATATCAACTTTACTGACAGCAGCATTCAGAGTTACACTCAGTTGATGGAAGTGGGTGTTTACAAGCTACTTTTTAGAGATACGGCGGAATACAGTGTTTCTGCCTGTTGAGCACTTTCCTTGTGGATACACGAGGTAGTGAAATTTATGCAAATTTTCATGCTAGGCTTTTGTTTTGTGCTTTATTTGGACTTCACATCAGTTCTTGAGAAGGTGCTACGCTTCTGTCCTTGAGGGACTGATAGCTTGTTGGCATTGAAATAGTAGTTGAGCAGGATCTCCTGACTCTAAAGCTTCTTTTAAATAAAATGTATTGTTTAAGCTATTGTTTAATGATTAGTAATAAAACACTCAATGATACAGGCACTGAGATTAATCTGAATATTTGTAGCACTGAATTTAATAACAAAATTGATTTGGAATCTCAGTCTGGACTAAAACCAAATTCTAATTAAATGCATGTAATTCTTTTGTACATTGGATTAGCAAAAAAATCTGATCTTTGACCTTTGAAAGAATCTGAATTCTTTCAAAGAAAAAAACCAATCTATTAAGGAATAAGAGCAGTTAAAAGGAAAAAAGTTCTACAACAAGTAATGGTGACAACTCCTGTTTGAATAGCGGAAGCTAGCAGAGGTCACAGAAGAAGAGTGGCTGAGTATTCCAGAAGTTGGTGATGCCAGGAACAAGCGTCAGAGGAATCCTCGTTACGAGAAGCTGACTCCTGTACCCGATAGCTTCTTCGCAAAGCATTTACAGTCGGGGGAGAATCACACTTCTGTGGACCCACGCCAAACGGTGAGTTTGAAAGCAGACCTGATGAAGATGTGATCCCTACTTTATAATTAGAGACAAGGGTTAAACCTTGCATTCATTAGTGGCATTTGGGGCGGGGGGAGAAGGTACTTGACCAAAAAACTTGATGTAGTTTGAGTCTGTCAAAGGACTTGCTGGATGCTAAAATCTGTGCTTGCTGGAGTCTTTCAGTGCACACTCATTGCCAGAGAAAACTTGAGGATAGGCAGGGAGGGCTTGGTTCTTGTGTTAAGGAGGGAAGAAAGTGTTTCTTTTCCTTTTCTCTGGCTGTAGAATTGTGATAATGATTTTTGGTGAGCGTAACCAACATCCATTCCTGTTGTAACAGCAATTTGCAAAAATGGAACAGAAAATAAAGTTCAGTTTCACCTAATGGTTTGCTCAACCCTGGAGCAATTGTGTTAAAAATTATTTGCCTTATAATCAACTGAAAATTAAGTCATTTAGCTTGTTGCTACCTGGCTCCAGGCTACTATGGTCATAGAAGCATCTGACTGGCCCTAAACTGGCACCATGTCCATGGGATGACTTTATAGATATTCTTGTTTAAATGTGCTAGGTTTAGATGCCTGTGCTTGAATTTTTCACTTTCTTGTTACTTATTTCACTGTCTTGACTAAACTTGAGTAATGACCTACAGATTTGCAAAATCTGTATGAGAAATGTCTTGTGATTCAGGGAAGCCACTGTTTCAGAAGTACCTATGGGGCTTTGACAACTCTGTCCTGTAGCCACTGGAGAAGAGCAGATCAGCCAACAGCCTGAATTATTTTTGAAATCTCAGAAGAGATTTTAGGAATGCATTTCTCTCACTCTTGTTTTTAGCAATTTGGCGGGTTGAATACTCCATATCCAGGGGGCTTGAATACTCCATACCCAGGAGGAATGACACCAGGCTTAATGACACCTGGGACAGGCGAATTGGATATGAGGAAGATTGGCCAAGCCAGAAACACCTTGATGGATATGAGGCTAAGCCAGGTGAGGATGTTGGAAGGCAGGATCTGTCACAGGTATACTTGGGGTTGGTGTTGAGCTGCTATTTAAGACCTGGGTTTGGTAAAGTCTTTAATTCTTTTGGGTGTTACAAGAAACAGCTCAGCTATGAAACAATTCTGTACTCCTCCTCCCCAAATCTGATGCCCCTTACACTAGTAGAATTTCCTGAGAAATAGCAGTTTGTCCCTGGAAGACTTGGTCGTTATGGGAGAACAGACTGCCCTGTTACAGCAGAGGTGGACTTCAGGCCACCCTGTGTAGGGGTGCAGGGCAAAATGCTGAAAAATACTACTCTTACATTGTTGTTGACTTCTTTTTCATTGATTTTCCCATCTAAATCTGGTTTAAACTAAAAAGGTGGGCTTTAGCTGGCAGGACTGCAAGACCTTTTGGTGACTGAAAGCCAAGATGCTTGTTTTCTGGATTTTCAGTGGTACTAAGTTTTTAATGTTCAAGTTGTATACTTTAGAAGTGGAAAAAAGCTAATAAGCAAGGCTTTGTGTTTTCCTTCTTCCTTGGTCTTGGTAACAGATGAATGTCTAGGTTTCTTGTATAGCTTCAGTGTCTTTTCCAGTCTTTAGTGTGTGCAGGCAGACTGGGGGGCTATGAGTGGTCATTTCAGTAGCGCTGACTTGACTTTCCCAGGTGTCGGACTCTGTGAGTGGCCAGACTGTAGTGGACCCGAAAGGATATTTGACAGACTTGAATTCGATGATTCCCACACATGGAGGAGATATCAAGTAAGTTTAAGAAGGATTAACTGATTTATCCTCTTAGTAATGGCTGTGATCCTGCATATAAATGGAAGTCATAGAATCATAGAATAGTTTGGGTTGGAAGGGGCTTTTAAAGGTAGGTCATCTAGTCCAACCCCCCTGCCATGAGCAGGGACATCTTCAACTAGACCAGGTTGCTCAGAGCCCTGTCCAAGCTGACCTTGAATGTTTCCAGGGATGGGAAATATGTCTGAGCTGGTGGCTTTCAGATAGCATTGAATTTGTAAAAGATGCTAGGTGAGTTTTTGAGGATGAATCCTTTTAACATGAGATCTGGTGTAGTCTTTCAGCTGATGTATTTAGCATCTGACCTGGATGCATCAGTTTGGAGGGGTTGTTTCCGTTCTATCCCTGGACTAACATGCCAGAGTGATGGCAGTGTGTGGCTGCCTGCCAGCCAGGAAATAACCTGATTAATTGTATCTGTGTACTGCTAATTTAGGCTTGATTGACAACCTCTGAAAACCTCTTTAACCTGAAGTTTCACACCTGTTTTGTAAAGAATTGCCATTTAAGGCAAAGAGATTATGTGCAAATGTTGGTGCTAATATTTGACTTAAATCAATGCTTCTGCTTATCAGCTTCCAACTGGCAGTGCCCAGCTGTAATTCCTAAAAATCTTACTTAAATACTTAGCTGGTTTTCACTGTGATCCCATTGTGTTAGTGTATATTCATAAACTTATTTTGGTAGTATGTTGTGTGTATCACGAGTATGGAAACATTTGAGATCACAGTTATCGTGCATCTGAGTGTGGCTGTGAAGAACTGACTGTAAAGCACTTACTGATTCAGGAGAATTGTTTGCTAGTGTGCTGAGAATTTTCCTGTCTATCTTTCCTCCTCCTTTAGTGATATCAAGAAAGCCCGTTTGCTCCTGAAATCTGTACGAGAGACCAATCCTCATCATCCGCCAGCCTGGATAGCATCAGCCCGACTGGAGGAGGTCACTGGCAAACTCCAAGTGGCTCGAAATCTCATCATGAAAGGAACAGAGATGTGCCCCAAGGTCAGAATTGCTTTGCTTCCCTGCTGATCCTTGCAGGACAGTGGGAAAAGGTTGTGGTTGCAAGCAGCATCATCTCTCTATTAAACTTGTATCAGGCTGTGCCTGATACAGCTTCACTATCTGCAATATTAAAAGAACACATATTTAGTTAGAAGCTCTAATTTTAAATTCTTGTTTTGATGTAAAGGAATATTCTTTCTTTTTCCTGACAGAGTGAAGATGTTTGGTTAGAAGCTGCTCGGCTTCAGCCTGGGGATACAGCCAAGGCTGTTGTGGCCCAAGCTGTCCGCCACCTTCCACAGTCTGTCCGAATCTATATAAGAGCAGCAGAGCTGGAGACAGATATCCGTGCAAAGAAACGTGTCCTTAGGAAAGGTGAGAGCTTCTGCAGGGTCAGGGAACAAAGTCTGAGTCTCCCTCTGTATTGCATTATAAGTTGTTCAAGATGTGCCCATAAGTTTAAGGGGTTTTTTGCATTCTTGGTGAAAATAACAGTTGTTAATAATGTGTGTCTTAACGGTGGAACTTGCTGCTGTTGAGTCAAAGAGTAGAGTTGTTGAAGTATTTGTAAGATGTCCTTCAGTGGAAAGCTGCTGCTACTGAGCAACTGCAAAATGACATTTCACTTAACTAAAACTAATTCCAGCTTGATCAAAGTTAGATAGGTAGATGAAAACAATGAAAAAAACCCATGCTCTAAGGAGAAAAGGGTGTTTTAACTGTCACCTTGTGATGCATTTGGGAAAAGATACTGGACCTTTTGTTTGAGTTCCAACTTCCCTGTAACCTGCTAAATACCACAGCGATTCCTGGTGGAGGAGTTTGGAGGCCTTGGGGTTCTCATATCATTGAGGTTTGCTTTACTGTAGCAAGTTCTGTGTTCTTGACAAACAGCTTTTCCCTATGGTCCTTACCTAAAACCCTACATCTTCTGTTGTATTGCACTTGGAGGTTTCCCCCTTTTGTGGAATTGCTGTCTTTTCCAGACAATGATCTCTTTAACAGCAGTTTGTTGTGTTGTCCTGAACCCAGGTCTTCCTCGCAGGTTCATGGTATTAATTCTTCGATTACTTTAAGTTACTGTGCCTGTATTGGTAGAGATTAGATCTGTCATGACTGTTGAATTGTATCAATTAATCTCCTGACTTTAATCTAGACAGGTAAGAGGGTCTGGTTTTAATACATTTACTAAATCATTGTGAAGCAGCCTACAGTATTGAATGGCCTGGCTTCAAAGGAAGTGAATTGCCTCCTACCTCTTACTAGTGCATGTAAAATTGCGCATCTCTGGTGAAATGACCTCTTACTGCATGTGGATGAAAGGCACTTAAAGGTTCCTGGGTTTGAAGTTGTAAGAGTTCAGATATTAACTATTCAGTAGCTTTTTTAAATTTTTGTTGGCTAAGCAGAGCAGCATGCTGTGAAGTGTTGCTCCTGTGACGCTGGGTGTCTCTTTCAAGAACAATAATAGGTGCTGAACAGAAAAACACTTTTACATGAGCAGAAATAGATTTCTGTGTCTAGCTCAGGTGGGAGAGCATGTTGTGTGAAAGCAGTGACTTACGTGTTAAGTACTGAATTTTGCTTTAAATACTGTATTTGCAAAGAGAAAAACATCTTGCTTCATTTTTTGGAACCACCTACTTAATCTCTGATAGCTGTTAGTGGAATGGAACATGATTTATCAGTCTCTTTCCAATTTCTGCCTGTTAACAGCTTCACGGTGCTTCTCTGCTACCTAGGGAACATCAGTAATACGATGCTTGGAGCTGTTTGTATGTACAGCCTTAAGATAAGTGGCAGTTTAACCCATTATTTCTCCTAAAATAAAAAAGACTGACTGCCAGGTAATGTCACTGAAGTGTGATCTTTCATACCGTGTTTCTCTCGTCTCTTGGCTGTGTGCATTCCTACCATCCAGCAAAACCTCTGGAGTTTTTAAAGCCTCTCTGACTGGAGAGCCAGCGAGCTGAGTGTTTAAAATGCATCTTGGGATGTAAAAATTGAATGCTCTATCTATAAAAGCATGTTCTGTCCTGCTGAGTGGTGCTTTCAGCTCTTGCAGGCTGATTTTATTCGCCTAAACTCTTCAGAATAATCTCCTGCTGCTGCAGACTTGAGGAGAAATGGTTAATGTCTGAATCCTCAGTGCACACTACTTGTAAATGCTCTGTGTTGTGTATTTTTGTAGAGCTGGGATGTGCTCTGAAGTTGAGGCTCAGCAGTGTGCCTCTGCCTTTGCAGTAATGCTTAAAGGAACAGCCTTGCCTAGAAGCATAGCTAGTTTCAAAGTAGGCTTAGATGCCTCTCCCCACCCGTTTCTGTGGTCCTGCAATTATGCTTGCTTTTATTGAATAAGGATGTGCTCAGTCCTTTGTTACTATAGCACATTTGTGTACAATTGCCATGGAAGCAATGCAACTACTGCTGCAGTGCAGCTAATACTAGTAATCTGTGGTGTAAGTTGTAGTGACAAAAGGCTAAAAGAACCCCCTTTTTTCTCAGTGTCACTTTTAAGGTACAAGATAATGAAGATACAGACTGAGAAAAGCTGTTGTTTAGACTCCAGTGTTTCAGACAGCACAATGTAGGGCAGTCTGCAGAGAATGCAGTTTCTACCAGTTACCTCTTGGACAGGATTAAGGAGTCCTTAAAGACACTTAATTAGATGGAGCCCATGATGGATTGCTGAAAGAACACACCAGATTCAGTGGCTTAGAGTGATAGTGTCAGCGATACCTTTAAGCTTTTATGCATCCTCCTGTTTTATTTTTGCATAGCGGGCCAGTAACTTTTTGGGAAGATAAACTGGGATCCATCAAGCTGTCAGGAGATGCCTATAGGAAAACTAAACCATGAAGGGACAGTTCGAACATCTAAGGAGCAAGGTTGTGTTATTAGTTAGTATTGAAGGTGCTCCCTTTCTTGTACAGGGAGACCCAGCATGATTAGGGTACCCAGTTTTGAAGATACTGCGTATGCTTATTTGCTGAGACTGGAGGCTTTGTTCAGCTAGGTGTTTTACTGAAGAGGATGGAATTACAGCTTGTACAGGGGAAAAGCCCTTGGCTCTTCAAAACCTGTTTCCAATTAATTTTTTTATTTTCTGATTTTAAGTTCTCATTGTTGAAGCAAGAGCTAATATAAGTACAGTTCCTTCCTTTCTCTCTTTCAGGAAACCTTATCTGTAATAGGACAAAGCCTTTAATATATCATCTTCAAAAAAATACAGTTCTCTATTTCAATTGTGACAATGTAGTTTATTAATTGTTTTGCCTCTCTAGCCCTTGAGCATGTTCCAAATTCGGTGCGTTTGTGGAAGGCAGCCGTGGAGTTAGAAGAACCTGAGGATGCCAGGATCATGCTGAGTCGGGCTGTGGAGTGCTGTCCAACTAGCGTTGAAGTAAGTTTTTAAAAAGTAAAATAAAGCAGCCCCCTACACACCTCCTAGGGTAGCAGTAGAGCTTTGAAAACAAAATGCAGAGTGAGTGCAGTGTGAGTTTTCTACCATGTACTTTATGCTACAATGAGAAGGATGTGATGAGTAGTGGACTGTGCTTTTTTTTCCTCCAGAGTTAATTGGTGGTCATTATATGCCTCATTTTCCTGTGTAATTGTTACGTTAGTTATGCCAGTGTACTGCTGTGCCTGCTGTAGCCAATTAGCCATGTTCGCATTCGTGTTTAGTGTCTCGACAATTGTGAAAACAAGCATACATACAGCCTGGGGAATCTAAACCGAAGCTGCTTGTTTTAGATTGAAACACTGAACCAGAATGTAATATTGAGCTGTTCAAGAGGTGATGTGGACAGAAAATATGAGTGCAGCAGCCAAGCAAATGGAGATGATATCTTGAGATGATTAGGATTGGGCTTTAAGGACAGTCGTGAACTCTGTTTCTACTACTTTTCCATTGGTACTCTGCAGCCTGCTTCTACTGCTTGAGGACAATTGCCAACTAGTAGCAAACAGCATAAAGCTGCTTATCTCTATGGGCCGACAACGCCGTGCAGCGGTGTTGTCATCTCCTTGTTCTAATCTAAAATACATCTTTTGTTGCTCCACAGCTGTGGCTTGCACTGGCAAGGCTGGAGACATATGAGAATGCTCGTAAAGTCCTTAACAAAGCCCGTGAGAATATTCCGACGGATCGTCACATCTGGATTACTGCTGCCAAACTGGAGGAAGCCAATGGAAACACCCAGATGGTGGAGAAAATCATTGACAGAGCCATCACATCTCTTAGGGCTAACGGTGTGGAAATCAACAGAGAGCAATGGATACAGGTATTTGCTTGGTCTTGGTTAGAGACCCAGATGAACTCTTCAAGTTCTGTTTTGAAGGCTATCGATGCAAGATATTGTAGGATAGAGTAATTTTGCACTAGGCTTATCGATGGAGATCCCCGTGAAAATACAAGAGGCGAGACTAAAAAACTGAGGAGAGCCAAGGCCATAGTTAGGTGATACTCTGGGGTAACATTGCGTGCGTTGAGCTGAGGAATGTCTGGTTTACTTCTGTCTTGGAAGATAACCAGCTTCAAGTTGAAGCAGCTGCTGCCTTAAGTAGGACAGAGGCTTTGAGCCTCCAGTGAAGGATTTCTGTGTTTTTTGCATATGTCTCTTTTGGCTTAAAAGATATGTTTGCCAAAAAAGTTTTTGTTAGATAGTGTTGTAAGAAGTTAATACAAATACTGCACATGCAGCAGGCAGGAAATATTCTTACTCCTTTCTTGGCTTCTAGTCCCAAGGCTGTGCAGAGCAGTCGTGGAACGCTGTTGTACAGTGACGTTTACAAAACATGACCTCTCCGCAGGTTCATCCCAGGTCGCTGTATTTTCAAATATTTTGTGCTAAAAAAGTAGCAAAAAACTGTAGGTGTTTCCTGTGTTTTGGTCACATCCAAAAGCAGTGGTGCTTGAGTTTCTCAAGTTAGTAAGACACTTCAAAGACTATTGCCATCTAAATGGCTTGATGTTCGGTTAAAAGAGCCTCTTTCCTCCTGATTTTGTACTGTGCTTTGTTTAAACCCAAGTCTTTAAACCAGTTTACTACTGAAGTGACTTACGGTGGGTCAAGGCAGTAAAATGTTCTTGGCACAGTGCTTAAGAGTGGTAATAATGAACAAAGTATTTAATATTAAACAGATACCCTTGTTAACATATAAAAGAATTATAACTTTCTTTACAGTAGTAAAACAATTAAAGGTTAATTTAAACTTCTGTTGAAAAAAACAGCACGAGAGCCTCTGCATCATTGTCGTCTTGAGTTCCTTTTCAGTACTAGAACTGTTCCATCCCTGTTACCTGATCAGAGGCCTTTTTAACAAGTTTAAGCATGACACGCTTGGCTTTCCAAAAGCTTTGTATGTCACAAAACTCTACTTTTCCATATATAGTCTGGTGAGAGAGCCTTTGCACCTTTAATTTAACACCGGTTGAGGGTGTATTCATTTGAATTCAGTTATTGCTTAGCCCTTATCGAGACCTTAGAATCAACCCAAAGCTGAAAGAAGATCAGTAATTTTGATGTTACAATTCTTCCTTCTCAAATTCTTGCAGTTTTTTATTGGCCAGCTCCCGGCCCAGCCCAGGGCAGATCAATGGAGTTGTAAGAGGAGACTTTTCAGGCTGGAAAGGTCACGCTCTATCACACTTACTCCTTTTCAGCGGATACAGTTGATGTGCTCAGTTTTTTAACCAACTTCTGATTGATTCTGTGTACAACTATAGCATCTTCCTTGTGGGTGTCAGCTCACTAGTTAGTGTCAAGATATGTTTGAGTAAAAAGATATTTTTAATGTGGCAGTGACTCACAATGTCTCTGTGTTTGCACATGAGGAGTTGCTGTTGCGGAATCCAACTTCTTGTGCTGATTTCTCAGAATGAGTAGGGCTTTACTCCTGTTTCTAGGATGCTGAGGAATGTGATAAAGCTGGAAGCGTGGCCACATGCCAGGCAATCATGCGAGCTGTGATTGGGATTGGAATTGAGGAAGAAGATCGGAAACATACCTGGATGGAAGATGCAGACAGTGTATGTCCAGCTGTGATGCTGGGTGGTGGTTTGGTTTTGTTGTTTTTTTAATTGGGGGAAATTGAACTGAAGCCTGGGAAATGACACATTTTTTTATCTGTGAAAGTGGATGTGATTCCCACAACATCTGCTTGCGTTTGGCCAGTCTGCCTCTCGGGAGGTGATTGTATTGTAGAGCTTTTTTCAGATTTGAATTTTTACTTAGCAAAAAGTTGGTATTGTGATAGATTGTTTGCTGGTTTTGGTGTGGATTTGTGTGTGTGTGTGTGTGTGTGTGTGACATCAACAGAGATTGAGGTCTGGTTAAAGTAACGGGGACTCGAGTTTTGAGACATAGACATTGTAGCTCAAGAGTTAGTGTAAGACTGGACAGGGGAGTGGGTAAGAGTTTTACCAGGCTTACTTTGCTTTAGGGGAGTAGTTTGAACATGCTCTAAAAACTAAATTCTACTTCAGCATGAGAAGTGTCTGCTTCACTGACCTTGAAGTTTGGCTTACAGCAGTAGGGGAGCAAATGTTGGAGCGCTTAAAGTTTTGCATGTAAAAAAAAAAAAAGTGCAAACACAAGAGCATTTACAATGCTTTACTACTGTTTCAAGCTGGCTTGTGTGTGTCAGTCCCAGAGAAAGGCCAGTGATACTTGTGCTCTGATAGAGGGACGCTTGGAAATTTCCTCCCTGCTTCCTTTTAAAAAGCTGATAATAACTGTTCCATTATATATAATGCCCCAATTCATGTATTACTCTGGGTTATTGAGTTCTGTGTTGAAGGAATGACACACGCATTAATTCTTGCACTTGATTTCAGTGCAACCCTAAACTGACTTAGTTCTGACCTGTTTTTTCCTTAGTGTGTTGCTCATAATGCTCTGGAGTGTGCCCGAGCAATTTATGCCTATGCCTTGCAAGTTTTCCCGAGCAAGAAGAGTGTGTGGCTGCGAGCAGCGTACTTTGAAAAGAACCATGGAACGAGGTACGTGTGCTGCATAATCCTTAAGTGGAGGGATTCATCCTTGTTACAGGGTGGTGGATTGGGCATGAGGAAAAGCTACAAGATCAGCCCTGAAGTGGTGTGTTGCACATGCAGAGTTAGATCAGCTGGTGGAAACTTGCTGGCATTGTTTGCAGGTCTGACCTTCTTTGTTATGGTTGTGGTCAGAACATCTTTGGGTTTTATGAAGTTATAAAAAGTTCTTTGGCAGTAGAGATTACTTGGTGAAAATAGTTATGAATAGGCAAGGCAGGGACAGTCATCTTTGAGAAGGCATTTCTAGAAAAAATTGGGAATACAAATCAACTAGAAATACAGCATGTGTTTAATTTTCATAAACTACTTCATCACTGAAGTTGTCCAAGCATCTCTTGCATTTTCTGATAATACAGAATGTGGTACACATTCACAGTCTGTTTAAAGATTGGTGTTTATACTGTCACAGCTCAGGCCTCCTTTTTGAAGTTTATTCATAAAGCTTTATACATCTGAAACTTTCTGCCCAAGGTTTAGAATAAAGCAAACAATGTCTGCAATAGACCTTTTATACACCTGGAATCATCCTTATTAAATCCAGCAAGGCTGTAGTGTGGAAGTGACTGCAGATGCTGAGTTCTGCCTCATTCAAGGGTTTTTTTTGGTTTTTTTTTTTTTTTTGAAACAAGTATGTCTTTGCTTTTGATGTTCTGTCATGTTTCCCACCGGTGGCTGGCTTTTAAGCCCCTTGTTGTACCTGAAAAGTGTATTTTCCAGGGGAGAAAAAAAATTTACATAAGATCAAGCAAGCTTCATCTAATAATTCTGAAAAACTTCCCGTCACAGTTTCTCCTAAGGTTTGTTCAGAAGAATGGCTCTTTCCAAGACAAATGAGCTGTTTGTGTGCAGGGTCTTTCCGCAGAGGCTGTCAAACAAAGGTGTCTGAACAATGAGCCGTTTGTGGAGTGCTGATTTCAGAACCCTTGTGAAAAAAAGACCTCACCCTTTCCTTGTTATGAAACAACTTACCGAGGTTTACAACGTTGGACTTTGCAACAATATTTATAACATTGAGTGATAGTCAAAATGGTGTGTGAGAGCTCACCTTTGGCAGTATTTCGAGTGATTGTAACTTGCTCTTTCTTGTCTCAGAGAATCCTTGGAGGCTCTTTTGCAGAGAGCTGTTGCTCACTGTCCCAAAGCAGAAGTGCTCTGGCTCATGGGAGCCAAATCGAAGTGGCTGGCGGGAGATGTGCCAGCAGCCAGAAGCATTTTGGCCCTGGCTTTCCAGGTGGGTATGTTAGAATTGTGTGATGGTGTTAAGTACGGCTAGTAAAGAATAGAGAGCAGGCTTTTTCTGTCAACACTTGGCTCCTCCTGCCTTTCAAAACCACAGGCTGTTCTTTGATTGTTTTATGTGGCAAAATGTTCTCCTGTAAAATAGCAACAAACTGGAAGCAAGAGTGTATTACTATTCTTTTAGTAGTTCCACCCTAGGTTCTGAGTTTGCAAACTATTAATTTTGCTACTGTGGCTCCCACCAACCCTAGTCATGGATCAGAATCCCCTTGTCTTGGGTCACTTGTCTCCTTGCTAAAAAGGGGTAGTGGTCTGCCCTAATTAATGAGGTTGCTGCATTACTTACGGCTTGGGACCAAACCCAGTAATCCATAGCAAAATGAAGTGAATTGTCTGCTGGGTGCTGAGAAAGAAGGATGGGCAGAGTGGTACAGTTCTAACTCTGGGAATGAGGCTTAAGAAGTAAGTGGTAGCAAAACCAAATGACAGGTCCTGAGATGGAAGGTAAAAGATATTCACTTCCTAAATTTGTTATTGGTGGTTTTTGTTACTATCCTGAAGGCTTCTTGACATGGTTGCCACTGAAATGACTTTTACTGGGAGAGGTTTCACAGACCTCAGCTGGGAATTCAAGCTTCAGGGTGTTTTTTGCTCAGCGATAATAAAATGAGTGTCTCATTGTGGCAGATCCTATGATCTTTTCCGTATTTAAACTGGAAGTTCAGAAGATCAAGCATTAATGCTTTTCAACAATTGAGAAGCATCCAACTTCTAAACTGACATATATCTTTGTGTTGTGCATCTGTTTTGGAGAATTTCTGTAAACTTCAAAGGTCAAAGAAGATTGGGAGGAGCTTGAACTGAAAGAAAAAAAATCCTACTGTGGATTGACAAAGCTCTGATTTCAATTTTAATCTGGATCAAACGGAGGATTAAATCTGCTGTTGATTCACTGTATGCATTTGTCTGTCATTTTATGTTCTTGCAGGCCAACCCCAACAGCGAGGAGATCTGGCTGGCTGCCGTGAAGCTTGAGTCAGAAAACAATGAATATGAAAGAGCAAGGAGGCTGCTGGCAAAAGCTCGCAGCAGTGCCCCCACTGCAAGGGTAAGGACGTGTGAAGAGTGGAGAGGCTGAGACCTCTCTTGGCCACGGGGGAGTTGAGGCGGAAGGAGGAGTTCCTTCAGTTCTGTGGCCTTAGTGATTGACCAGATGGCTCCCTGCCATTGCCTTTTGCAAGCATGTGGCCACTTTGCTGCAGTGCTTCTCCAGTGAATTGCAACAGAAAATCACGGCATGATGGGAAAAAAAGGCTAGGATCAAGTGAAGGGTTTCAGTTTTTTTTACACAAATGGCAAAAGTCAGGAAATTCCCAGTTTACAGCTGTTTGTATAATGTTCATGTTGCATAAAAGCACGTCTTCGAAAAAAGAGAGAGAGAATACTTTCACAAAAGACTCACGCTTGCTGTGCTAAAGACAGCTCTGGTAGAGTTTGTTGTTTAAAATTACACTGTTGTGTTTATCTCTAGAGTTACTTCTGGTATGATAAACTTGGTCTATTTTCATCTGTTCATATAGAACTGTTTTAACGTTTCCAAGTAAAAGAAAAATCAGTTTGGTGTCCATCCCCTGTGTCTCCCCCCAGTTTGTGCTTCATCTTAGATCTTTTAAACTGTCCTCTTCCTCTTTTGTCAGTCAGGAAGCTTCTCTCCAGCTGGCACCAAAGCTCTGGGCTCAGACTTGATGCCTCTCTTGCGAAGTCATGATGGGGGAGTTTGGGAATGGGGAGGACGGGGATCAAAGAGTAGTGAAACAGGCTTTGGTCTATAATGTGTTTCTCACAGCTGTAACTTCTTGTGTAGCCAAAAGAAAGGCATTTGGGAGCCGAAAAGTATATGTACCAGTCTGTAATTAGCAGGACAAAGCTGCAACTTGAAGCCATGAAGGAGAGTAGGTGGTCCTGCTAGCTTGGACATAAAGAGGTCAGATTGTGCTGATGAAGCAGGCTCAAATTTGTTAATTCGTTGTGGTCTTAAAGCTATGCTCTTTGTACAAATATTTTACAAATGTCAGCTCTGTGCTAATAGGAGAGATACAGGTTGATCGTGCTGTTTCAACTCCTTTAATATTTACGTTTACCTTTCTCATTGTTACCTGTTCCCACTATTATTTAACCGTGGTATTTGTACTTTAAACTGTAGCTAATCAATAACATTCTAATGAATGTGTGGAAGTGGGAACCCGCTGCATTGATGGACTAATGGTTTTTCAATGGCTGCTAGTAATAAACAGCTCTGGTTTGTTCTCAGGTCTTCATGAAGTCTGTGAAATTAGAATGGGTGCTTGGGAACATCGCTGCAGCCCAGGAGCTTTGTGAGGAAGCCCTGAAGCACTATGAGGACTTCCCCAAACTGTGGATGATGAAGGGACAAATTGAGGAACAAAAGGAGCTGGTAGAGAAAGCACGGGAGGCTTATAATCAAGGGGTAAGATGTATGTTATTGCAAGTTTGCTTTGCACTTCTGGTGTGGAGAGATGTCTGTCTTTGAATCAAAGTGAAGAGGGCTGTGTCCCAGACTAACCAATGAGATTTCTGTTCTCTCTGCCATTGGTTGAAACAATAACAAAACCCCCAAAATTAGGACCTTGAAGTAAGCAGCAAGAATCTCTCTTACCCAGTATCCATGTGCGAAGTTCACTTTCTTGCTTGAGAGTTTGCTGTATGCTTGACTCCTCACTGGTAGGAAAAAAGTAATTGCAGAGTAATTCTCTAAGAGTGGTAAAGGCTAAAAGCAGAACTCTTAAAAGCCTCCTAACGATTTCTTAGATACACACAGTAAAAGGAGGTGGGCTACAGAACACTCGAGTTTCTCAAATGGTAATCGATGTCCTTGGGTATGAATGCTTCTGAAACTCATCAGCTGTGAAAGTAATAGGGAAGCAGGTTTCTGCCAGTGTCGATACCCTACTGACTTCCCAGGCTTCAAAGGCAATCTGTTTCCTGCGCATTCTGTTGCTGTGGTTTGGTTTTGTAAGAGCCCTCCACTGCCAGCCGGCGCACAAATTATAAATGTGTTATTAATGGAGGTATATTCTTTCTCCTGCTACTGCGATAGCTCAGTCACAGTTCATGTCCCCGACTGTTTTGGGTATAGGAGAAACTTGACTTCTGCATTGTTCTGTTCTGTAAGAGTAGGAGAAATTTGAGCGATGTAATCAACTTTGTCTCTCGTCTTCTAAACTCTCCAGGAGAACATAGAGGGGGGAAATTCTTTTCTATAGGGTCATAAGATTTCTTTTTTTCCAAATCTACATGTTACCATACCTTTTTTTTTCTAAACAGTTGAAAAAGTGTCCCCATTCCATACCCCTGTGGCTTTTGCTGTCCAGGCTGGAGGAGAAAGTTGGGCAGTTGACTAGAGCAAGAGCCATCTTGGAAAAGTCTCGCCTAAAGAATCCGAAGAATCCAGATCTCTGGTGAGTTGTGTGGAGGTGAGCTGAATTTGGGCGACAAAGCCAATGCATCCTTCAGGCCAGCTCTCTTACACCATCTCAGTCATTTGAGCCTGGAACTTATGACCATGCCCATCCTAGAGTTTCTTCGGGACTAACAACTTTTCCTGAATGCCAGAAATGCTTTGGTGATCCTGGCTAGTGTGTAGCTACTCTAAGGAGCTGGGGACTAGTTACTTCTTTACTGATAGTTGTAGTGCACAGAGCATGAAACCCCAGGGATCTTTCATTTCTGTTATAGTCCCTTGTTCAGATTGTTTTTGATCTAGGTGATTATAGAATAAAGGTCATGTTTATTTTTACACAGAGAGGGATGGGAAGATGTCAGTCACCTACACATATTCAGAATATGGGCAGATGTTTGCAATTTCCAGTGACCTTCATGTGACTCCCTGTTTGTTTCCGCATGATGAATATGTTGTCATAAATATTAGCACTGACTCTCTTCCTTACTAGGTTAGAATCTGTGCGATTAGAGTACAGAGCTGGGCTAAAGAATATTGCAAATACTCTGATGGCCAAGGCATTGCAAGAATGCCCCAATTCAGGTGAGCTGGATCTCATTTCTATCTTAAATGCAGTTGTTTTGACCAGTTGATAAAGCTACCTCTTTTTCCAAGGCATCCTTTCTGGCCAGATCTCAAGATGCTATGTTTTGGAGAGGTGTCAGTCATCCTTCTGCAAATGAAATGTTGAGGGTCTTCGTGAATAATCCCAGTGGCTTTGTGCTATCTCACACCAGAGAGGTCACGGGTTGGTGCTTGTTCCATTTTGCTGCAGTATCGAGTGTGTGTTATTATTTGGCCTGTGGTCCACAGTTTGCTCCCAGCTTTCCTGGGAAAGCGTCTTGGATACAGGTGGCTCTTCTCTGAAGCTGGTAGAAGTCTGCCAAGGTGTAAAATTGAAGAAAGACTCTTGAGTGTTTGTGGTTAGGGAGTTCAGTGGAAAAAGAATGGGTTTTTCCCTGTCTCGTTGGAGTTCAGCTGGCCGCAGGAGACTTCCCGTTGTTGGTTTGCCTGCACTGGTTGCTCTACTAACTGTGTGCTTAATAACTTGTGCTGGCAGCAGATTTCAGCTGCAGTCATGATTAGGGGATCATGTACCATAAATATTTAGTCCTGGGTTTTGATTATTTTAACTCATTTAAGAAAAGGCAAATAGGTCCATGTAATGCAAGTCAATTGGTGCTAACCAGCAGTGGAAACATTTGCCTCTTGGGATGGGAGGAGAAAGTGCGTAATGCTTCCCTATTTTTTTGGCAGAATTGTGGGAAGACTTAATTATTTAAACGTGTTGACATCTTTGGAGAGATGTCACATAACTACAAAGTGTAGTAGTCTACTGCAGGGCAAGCCTTTTTAGCTCGCCTTCAGGCTAGGTTTTGAAAGGTGTTTAATTGGCAGCTGCTAAAGTCCCAGTGAAATAATTGAGAATTAAGTGACTTTTATGACATGATAAACTCATTGCAAGCTGCTCACCATGTGAGTGGGTCAACAAAGCAATACCACCCAAGTCCTGCTTTGTTTTGTGAATGACCTAATGCTTAGTGAGTGTTTGCCACCACAGGCTTTTTTACAGAATCTGCCTGTTGCTATGGGAACGGGTGGCAGGATCTCAGTTTTTGTTTAAATAAAATCACTTCCAGCTCTTATCTTAAAACTCTACAAACCAGAATAAAAGCCTGCAGGAATTAGCTCGTTGGACACCTACAGTCATGTAAACCAGAGACTTGCATCCATCGATTGCTGAATTGATTCCTGTGTGCTTATGGCTGATGTAGGCAGGCTGCACAAAGAGTAAAATTGAAATATAATGGTGTTTGTGTCCTCAGCAGGCCTGAAAATAGAGGCCTGAAAAATGTGCTTTGACCCTATGTATATAAAGAGCAAGAAGAGGAGAGTTCTGCTCCAGTCTGTCACTGCAGTCATCAAAGCTTGTGTATGTTCCTGTGGTGCAGTTTATCAGAAGCGAGAGCACTTTGATAGAGTCCTGGCAGACATAAGCTTTCAGGCTTTGCTTTGAAGTGATCAGCAGGTATGGTTGGCTGACATGAGAAGCTGAAGATTTCATGCTCCTCTGAGCGTATTTCCTTTCTTGCTTTTGGCAGTGAAAGGAACTAGGGATTATCCCAGACCTACTCTGTCCTTCATCGTGTGTGTGGAGAGCCAGCATCAATAAGACCGTGGTGCTCCCTGGCACCCTTGAAACTGCTGCCAAATGGTGTACTTTGCACCTTCTGGGACTTCTTCTGCCACTGCAGTTTCCCATTCAGACAAACGGATGTCTTTCCTTTTTGAAATGCTGAGTTGCCCTCCCCTGTTCCACTGCTTGCATTGTCTCATCTGACAGGCATGAGCTCTGCGTTGGCGCAGACCTGTGTAGGGAGTGCTGAAGCTGCAGCAGGGTTGTGGTACAGAGTCATTCAGAACTCAGAGGTTCTCAGAGGCATGGTGCAAGCAGTAGCTAAAAACTCAGAGTGCTGAAGGAAGTATCCATGCAGATAGAGTGATCTGGGCTGAGGCTGGGGCACGGGTAACCACCCGGGTGGGGGCAGTAGTGCTGCTCATGTTAGAGAGCACTGGCCTGATGGCAGGATGGGGTGGGTTAATCTTGGAAATAAGACTAAACAATCTTCCTACTTGACTTGATTAAGGAATCCTGTGGTCAGAGGCAATTTTCCTTGAAGTGCGACCGCAACGGAAGACCAAGAGTGTGGATGCTCTCAAGAAGTGTGAACATGACCCACATGTCCTGTTGGCTGTGGCCAAGTGAGTTCCTCTGCTTGATGTAGTTAAAATATCCGTTTCTGTGTGGCTGCATCCATGATGAAACATTGCACTCAAGCATGACCATGTGATTCTGGCTGCAGCAGCTCTAATAAGCCTCAAAGCAAGTAACTGCTCTCAAGCTGTCTCCTAGTAACTGTGCAAATCTCTCCCTTGATTCAAAGCAGGGGATGTCAACCTGCCCTCAAGCTGTTCTGCTGGGTCTGGGATTGCGGCAGACAACAAAACGTTCACACAGAGTCCTTCTCCAGTGCTGAGTATTGGCACTCTGAAAATTTCTATCTTTCTGTCCCTTGAAAGGGATTTCAGTGTGCTTTCAGATGAACTAGGCTTAATTAAGTTTTATAGAATATGCTTTAAGTATTTGTGAAACTAGGGACAATTTTTTCTGTCATTTTTCAATTTTTATGCAGCTGACTCTGTCTTCTTCATCTTTTCGCTCTACCCTAGATTCTGTCAGAATTTTTTAATCCTGAGCTATATGCTGTGCTTTTGTAGTCTTCTCCCCTCCTGAATTTTTGCTATGTCAGTTTTCTTTAGTTGTGGCCCTTCCTGGAATGCAGACTAGCAGTCATACTGTAGTTTGCTTCTCTGAAATGGGAAGATAATCTACTAAGAATTATTGTCTTGTCTACATTGAGTTGTGAGGCGTCCAGTAATGAAAAACCGCTATTGGCAGTGACTCGTGCCATATCCTTCCTATCTGATGTGTGAATGGCTCTACAGCAGTTACGATTGGAACAAACTTACTTTTCTTCCTTTGGGAAGAGGTTAATGCAGGAAGTATTTTGCCCAAAGAGTTGCCCAATTCTTTCACAACTCTTTTCTTTGGCTTATTAAAAAAAAACAAAACAAACAAACAAAAAAAACCCCCAAAAACAAACAAACAAAAAAACCCCACCACAAAACCAAACAAAAAAACCCTGTAGGATACACTCCAGTGACTGCAATGCTGGGTTCTGGCAGATAATGACAGCTGACTTGTTCAGCTTTAACATTTTTCTCACTTGGTGCTAACTTTTCCTTTGTGGAAGCTGCTTCCAGGCCCCTTCTGGTGCAACCTCAGTTTAGCAGCTAATCCCAACACAAACAGCTTCCACCTCCCCTTATGACTTGCATGTAGGTACGGTCATAGCATAGTGTCACACATCTGTGAAAAACTTTTGTTAAAGGTGTTTCTGAAAATGGCCACTACCTGCAGGTGTTGAGCCTCTGCTATCATTGTTCGTGTTCTTTTAAATCACAGTTTATTTAACACGGAACAATCAAGAGTATTAAAGGGCTTAAAAACAGTCATATAAGCTGTATAATTTTATGACTGGCTAAGCTTTTTATGAGGGATAGCTGTCTGATTTGATAAGGACCTTACTAGCTCAAATGAACTCTTTAATGCAAAAGGACTGAAACCAAGAGACTATTGACTCAGCTGGTTAACTACGGGGGAGAAATTTCAGAATTCACGAGTACCTTTATGAAATGGCAGCAGTCGGGCTGGGCGCCAGGCTGGGATTTGAACGCAGAAGCTTATGTGCTCGCCTTTCCTCCTAAAGTAGAGCTGACAAGATAGGTCTGCTCCACTAGAGCATGCTTTCTTGGATGTGAACGTGTGACTGCACGCAGCCATGGCTCCAGGAACATGCATGCCATTTTCAGCTGCTTAGAAGTTATTTAATTGTTAGATGCTAAAATCAATGTGAAATATTAAGAAATTGGAGGAGGGGAAATAGATGTAGGCATGCGATCCTGTCTCTTGTCTACACCAAATCCGGAACAGCAAAATTAAGTGATTGTGTTAGCAAAAATTGAGCTCAGACAGTCAAGGGTTGAGCTCAGAGAACAATACTTCCCTTCTCAGAGTGTCGGTCTCTTCGTGGGGCTAACTTAACCAGCTTCCCTGGGTGGAGAGTGAAGAGGAAGCGGTGACTGTTCTTTTCAGTCTTCTCTTGTCCCTTCCCAGGGGAAAGACAGTCAACAGGTGCCTACAAAATCTGCTCTTTCCTTCTGGGAAGAGCAAAAAATTGAAATATCTGTAGAGCCTTTAGTTGGACTGCTTGCGGGTTGGCATGTTCCTCTAAAGACAGGCTCTTTGTTGACTCACTTTGGTTTTCTCAACAGGCTATTCTGGAGTGAGCGTAAAATAACCAAGGCCCGAGAATGGTTCCACCGAACAGTGAAGATAGACTCTGACCTGGGAGATGCCTGGGCTTTCTTTTACAAATTTGAGCTCCAGCATGGCACGGAGGTGAGTGTGTGCCTGAGAACAGGGAGCAGGGGAAGGCAGCGGGAATCCTTTGCCGATGTTGGTTACCCAGTCCCGGGGATTGCTGCAGCGCAGGGCTGAGCACGCTGCTGCCTGTGTGGCTCACAGATGAGGCTGCGGCTGTCACGCCTGGTCATGAATGAGCATGAACAGACCTGTGTGGTGGTTTTTAAAAGGCTCTGTCATTAGCTGAGCTGTCTGTCAGGCTGCTGTTGTCCACAGTCATGCTAGTTTGTGCAAAAATCTACGAAATCAATCTTTCTTCTGGAAAATGCAAGCTTTCTCTTAGGAGATTTTCCTGTAATTGCCATGCTGGGTTTGTGTAACTAGTCCCATTTCTTCACAGTGTCAAGTACAGGTTGCATGTGAACATAGCCAGAGGAACGGTCTGTTTTAATCTCTTACGGCAGTTTTTACTGCCTGATATTACTGAAATTATGGGAGTGTTTATCTTCTGACTTCAGAGAGACCTCTCACTTGACAGATCTCATGCAGGTCGTAATTCAAAGGAAGTTTCTGCTGCAATTTCCCTGGTGTAGCCAAAACTTGCTTGGCTGTAATTCGGCCAGTTTGTTCAACAAGGCAGGAGAGTTGCTGCCACTGAATTTTGACTCGAGTTTTGATACTGCCTTTAAAAAAAACAAACAAAACAAAACCCCACCATAAGCTTTGAAAGAGTGGGATTGTTAAATTTTTGGCTCTGTGCTGGAACAAACCAGGGCATTAAGAGACTTGCAAACTGTCATTTCTCTTCCCTGTAGGAACAACAAGAAGAGGTGAGGAAGCGCTGCGAGAATGCTGAACCTCGCCACGGAGAGCTCTGGTGTGATGTTTCCAAAGACATAGAAAATTGGCAGAAAAAGATCGGAGAGATTCTTGTGCTTGTGGCAGCCAAGCTTAAAAATACTTTCTAGAGTATGCTGGCTTCAGCTGCGTTAGTCATCTCTGTAGGACTTGTCTGCTTACCTGCTTTCAGTGCATGACACGGATTTTGGAGAACAGGAGATCGGTGGTGATATGAAAGATCTTTCTTCCCAAAAGAAAAGCTACTTCCTTCCCTTCCCAGTGACAGTGCTCTTGGCTCACACAACGTGCTCGTCAGGTTCTGCAGCGCATCTGAACGCCGTTGCTGGTGTCACGTAGAGAGACAAGCAGGCTTGTCAAGCACTGTTGGCATTTTCATTTTGATGCCTGAATCCCCCCTGTAAATAGAAGCTTTAGCTGGTGCTTGTATGGGTTCTGACATTTAGCAGTTCTTCTGGTTTCTTCCCTAGCATGCATTCCTGTCCTGTGCGGTCCCTCTTTGTTCAGTTTTCTTTGTGTTTGGCCCACCTGATGCTGGTTCCTTGTCAGCAGGTCTGGTTTGTTGCTGTTTGAATACACTGAATGTCCTTGAAGGCGACGAGGGGAGTTCTGCTGGGAGAAAACCAGCAGCCAAGGGGAATGGCTGGGCTGGCCCCTGTCTTTTAGTTTTTTGCCACGAGCCTGGTTTAGTGTGGTCTCCTCTGCTGGCAAGCTGCAGCACAACTCAGAGGTATTCCTCAAACTAGAGCAGATGGAGCATTTTGTGAAATCCAAGAGCGTATTTTTACAGACCTTTTCCTCACTTTTTAAATTGTATATAGTTATTCTTTTAGGTGTCTAATTTCATTAAGCACAGTGGTATTTTAAAGTAACGAGGCAAAACCCAGCAATCCTTGAAGGCCCTTTTGAAGGAACAACCTTTACTTGAGTTGTTGAGAGACCGGGCACTTTTACAGTGGCAGCTGCTTTCAGTTGGGATATTTGGGATGATTCTTCAAGTGCAGATGGAAAAAAGCAAATTCATGAGAGGAAAAGCTTTGTGTTTGGGGCCCTTTATAAGCTCTCTTAAGTTTTCTACACTTGTGATCTGTATTATTTTGACCCCCAAAAACCTGACTTTCTTGTGATCATTGAATGAAAAGCTGTAATGTTATGTGTTTGGATATAGAAAAAGTATCCAGGTCTGTGTATGTGCATTATATAATGTATTTACTTGGAGGAGAAAACCCCTTATCACTTCTTTGGACAATATGTATAAAATACAGCTTGTTTGTTTTGTTTCCTTATGTTCTCTTTGAATGTGGTCTTCCCCACTCTGGGAAGAGTGGGGCTGATAGCAGAAACCTTTGAACTTATCAGGCTCCCACCGCTCCAGGAATGTATCTGCCCGCGGTGGTTACACCAAGTTGTGCCACCGCCTTTTGCCAAAAAGGATGAGAAGCCCGTCCTTTAACACTGAAATCAAAATGGTTGGTCTCGAAGCAAAAGCCTGTTTTGCTGGATTTATAACAGAAACTCTTGTGCTTTCTCTTGAATAGCTGGTGAAAGTGTGTGAAGCTGCATTTTCATTAAGGAGGGTGTAGATCACAGATGTCCCACGGAAGTGTAGTGTCCCAAAGGTGAGTGAGAGGCGTTGGGAAGACTCTTGCTCAGGGGTTTCATGCCTTCACAGGCATCCTTCCTGTATGTGGGCTTATGCAAAGGGGAAGGGAGAGGAGTTTGGGGAGGAGTATGGAGGCGTCACTCTTGTGAAAAGGAGAGGGTAGACATGTGGGAAGGGAACGTGGCTGGGCAAGGATTTCAAAATAGCCAGAAACTGCAGGAGAAAAAAAAGGTTTGAAAAAATAGTTCTCAATGTGTGCTGTCCTTCAGCCCCTTGTGCTTCTCATATGGCTTTTACTCTTCCTCCATAATGTGATCTGTGTAAGTGCTTGGCCATGGGGACTGTATACTGCTCCTCTGGGAAGGGAGTACGGCATTTCCTAGCGTAGGAGTGTGCTGGGGAAAGCTGGGTGCCAGTGGTGCAATTCCTCTGCCCTGTGGTGCTCTCGTTCGGTGGCTGCAGAGTTGCGGAGGGGAAGGGAGGGACGGTTGGGACTGCGGTGGCGTGGCTTTTGTCTCGGGAGAGAGGAACAAGTGTTCAGAGCATTTCCCTCGAGCCAGATACTGTGTGTGCGCCCGCTGGTCAGGATCTGTGCGCTTCCCCTGCCCCTTGCTGGGGTGGCAGCACCTCATCCTTAAGGATTTTTTGGGAAAGGCTACCCAAGAGTGCTGGGATTGAGGAAACGCATGGGAAGGACTTGCTGGGGAGTTGCTCTTTGTGGGTGGTGAGGGAAGAGATTGTGGCCCAGTGCTGCGCACCGAAATGTGCTGGATGCCCTGGGCAGGGGGACCTGTGCTGGGTGCTGCACCACGTCCTCGAGCACCAAGCTCCTCGTGCTACCTGCTCCTTGTATCCAGCTTCCCTTTCCCCTGGCCCGAGGGTGTACATTCCTTGTTTTTGGGGTTGTTTTTGTTTTTAGATAAAAGGGGTCGTCCATCTTAGAACCTTTTAATGTTTGTGTTTTTTAAAATGATTATGGCACCTACAGATTTTCACTATATATAGAGCTCAATAAACAAGTTATATGGATCCTGTCAGCAGCGGTATGTTGTTGTGTATGCTGTGGTTCCCACTTCGCAGGGAGGAGCACTCTTGCCAAGCTGAGATGAGCTGGATTGTTCAACCCTTTCTTCTATCTCTTACTACACACAAGCCCTTCACTCATTTCATTTTTTTTTTTCCCCTTACATCTTGTACAAAAGCCACGGAACCGGAGTCCGGGCAGTTTTCTGGGCCGGTACACTGGTGTTGAACGTGCCTGTTGAAAACTCGGAGGGGAGAGGGGCAGGGGGCTGCAGCTGAGCGTGTGGGGCCACCGTGCAGGTGGGGACTTTGGGGGTCACTTCTGCCGTGGGGGGTGTGCGGCTATACGCACTGCCCGCTGCGAAGCTGGCGTGGTAAGGGTCCAACAGGAGCCGGGACACGGCCTGGTCTGTGGTCCTGGGGTCCGGCCAGACCCGGTGCTGCCCCAGTCCCGCTGCAGCGTGGGGCTGTGCATCGCTTTGGACTGCCAGGTGGGCGAGAGGGACCCTCCCCAGATCTCGGGGGGACTGTCTGCTGGCCCCCCGGGGGTGGAGGGAGCC